TACGGTACGAAAAGTGCAAAAACGCATAATCGCTCCGGCCCGCCTGGTGCGTTCCAGCCTGGGTTTGCATGAAGTCCGGTCGTTTTTCCGGTAAATGCTCGCCTTTCGAAATCACTGGTGACGCGTACTGGACGCGCCTGTGCGATCATGCATTTCTGCAGTATCTTGTGCTGTCTGTCATAAGATCGACTGGAATCACAACAGCTAGTTATGACGTACTGGTCCTCGAACTTCAGAAAGTTAATCGTACACTACCACATGCACTTGGAAACATGCTGCTAAAACTTCAGCTTCCCAGCTTTTCCGGTTCGCCACTTTGCAATTTTTCCGCCAAAAAATCTCGCGGGGCCACACGTGAGAACCACGCGTGGCGGGGGCTGAATTTCAAATTTTTGAATTCTAAGTGGACAAGGAGCACACCTTCAAAATCTCAGACCGCCCCGCTTCCCTGGTTCTCGAGTCAGCCGTTTTTCCGCCAAAACTTTCACGTGGCCATACGTAGGGTCCAGACGTGCGCGAGGGTTGGTATCGTGATCTTGGGTTGGTACTTGGCTGGGGGGCCTGGGGAATTCGCTGGCAGAATTTTGGCTCAGGAGCTGACGTGATTGCAAAGTTGAAACACCCGGATGGGCGCACGTGCACACACACAAACACACACACACACGCACATACACATACACATACACACACACACACACACACACACGAACATACACACACATCAGGGAGCGTCGCAATATGCGACTTTGCTTGCTGTAGTAGCGCTATAGCGCTGCACAGCAAAAACGCATAAAAATGAGCCCAAGCTCGAACTCACCAGGCGGGCCGGTACGTTCATTTGTTTTTGCACTGTAAAGTTTTCCTGCAAAGTTTTAGCTTTCTAAGTCCCTGCAAAATATCCCTGCAAAGCTTTAGCTTTCTAACTTGCCTGGTTCCCAAAATCATTTTCCGCCAAAGAAATTTGCATATTGTTACAGGAGTCCTTACGCGAGATCTAGGCGCTTATGAGTGAAGATCTTAATACGGGAGTGACACACGGGGTGGGGATATGTCTCAAAAATTTCAGCCTCCCAGCTTCCCTGGTTGCTGAGTTGAAAGTGGATGACAGAATTCACTCACTGCCGAACACACACACGCACACTGAGATGACCTCTTGACAGTATGCGTTTTTACTCGCTGTAGCAGCGTTATAGCTCTGTAAAGCAAAAACGCATAAAAATCCAAACTTTTAAACCTACATAACTAGCTGTTAATTGATATTAACGGCTAGTCAGTCACTGTAATGTGTGCTATACATGTTGCGGCGTTTGAGTTATCTCTTCTGCTGTGAAGACCGTGAACTGATAGCTATCAAACGTGAGTTTGAATTAAGATGTAAGGAAAACTGCGCAAGCTAACTTACTCCATCGTAATCCGGTTTATCGAGATCATTCCAGTCGTCAATCGCTTCCAGAATTGAATCAAATATCTTCGGACACTGGTGCAAAAACTTTCTGCGGTGGTTGCTGCGTACTTTTACTTTAATTTCAGCGATAGCCTGCCGTTCGGATCGTTGCAGTTGCGACCAAGGTAGCGTTGTGGCAAGCATCTCAACGCACACGTAAAACCATGATTCCACATCATCTTTGCGACACTGCTCCTGTCCAAAATTCCTCAGAATACTGCACTGCTATCAGAATAAATCGCAAGACCAGATTCACTGGTTATTGCTAATTTAAAAATTAAGATAACACTTAAGTATTTTATATTCTCGCTGAGAAATTGTGCTTGGAATACACTGTTCAGTTTTTATTCTATAGTTGTCCCTACAGTTGGCGACTTTTACAGTTGCTTTGTCCAGTA